ATATATATATATATATATATATATGTGTGTGTGTGTGTGTGTGTGTGTGTGTAGTATTCAAAATGAGTCACTTGAAAATGGAATAGAATGAAATTGTCACTTAGACCTTGATGATTAAAAGTTGGATCAAAAAATGTTTCACGAATCACACCCCAAGCCTCAACTAGAGTTCTTTGAACAGTATTCACCTGCCCAACAACATTAAGCAATATAATAGCATTCATCAATAAAGACACATATTACAAACTCAATACGTTAAAACATTAAGATCTCACAAGGATTTTGAAAAAATTCAAGGACATCAAGGACTCTTTTCCAATCACAAGGATTTTGGAAAATGCAGTCATACATCAAATAGGGTTGGCAACATGCCAAGCAGCCTGCCCCATAAAAGCAAGGCATAGGCCATAAAATGTGGTCCGAGGGCCAGGCCGAACCTAGGCCAGGGCCATGACAGGCCCGGCTGTGTTTTCCTTATTGTTTATTTTTCTTTCCTTTGAGTCTATTAGGCCCGGCCTGGCCCAGACTGAGACTGGGCCAAGCACCTTCGGCCAGGTCCTAGCAGTGTTGAGCTCTAGCTAACCCTATAGGGGCCCAGGCCAGGCTCAAGCCAGGGCGCTTGGCCTAGACCCAGCTTGTTGCCAGCCCTATCTCCAACATGAGTTCGCCAACAGTGCAACACCATTAAAATCACACTGAGTAATTCCAAGCATTGTACTATTTGAGCAATGGCTTGAACCCGATGCAAAACACTGAGGTCGAACTCCTTGTTAAAATACTCAATCTTGTTCCACGCTTACAATGCTCAAACTACCTGCATGCACATCAACTACAAGAACTGGTTTTCGAGCTAGAGTTTTCGATAACCATTTTGATTGTGCACTACTATGACGCGAGGCATGCAGAGTTCGGCGCTGTCTTAAAAGGTATTTTACACCCAAATCTCAATACACTCCGAGATGCAGATGAAACCTGATGAATACATACCACGATACAACTAAGGTAAGTAATGCATTTGCTTTAAGTATTATCTTAGTTGCCAATCTAAAGATAATCTTCTGAGAAATACAGAGATCCTTCTGACATGCCATAGTTTGGTTGGGTTCTCAAATTCTTTAAGCACTCCCTTTCTCTGAGAAAACAAAGAAGGAGAGAGAAGTTCAAGAAATTAAACCTACAGTCTAAGTCAAAATTTCTGTAGAGTATCCCTCTTGTCAAAACTTTCTCAAACACAGTCTTGAAATGAAAAATAACTAGGTATTTATAAAGAAAAGTCATGCACTATAGTCTATTGTCACTGAAATGAAATACATGGGGATTAGTCAAAAGTACTGAGAAAAGTACTGCCAAAAGTACCGAGTGTTTGAGAATTTGCTTCTGCGATTAACTTTTGGGTTCACTCAAACTATGTCAAAAGTAAAGTTAACAACTTATCCACAGTAAGAGGCTATGTCTCACTGATCGAGCGACACTCCATCTGTGGTGAAAAACTGCAGTGTTATGCACTGTTTATGTTTGAACGCTCTTCTATGGTCAAGACCCACAGGCATGTCGAGATCATTTTAGCCAAAACATTTTGGCTATGGTTTGTTAAGATAACATTTTGAAACCATGCCCAAAAATCAAGCATTAGCATGTAAAGCTCTTTACAGGTTCTACCAACAAAATCAGCCCCATAAACTTAATCATTGATCAAGCACTCAAAGAATCATGACAATTGCAGTTTAGACTCCTTACAGAAACTCACTCTAGAAGTATTTTTTAAATTTGAATTGAAACACCCTTGCAAACTAACAGAACATAGCAAAGATGAAAAGTGGGTTCTGTTGTCAGCTATAACATAAATTTTCAAAATTTCCCTATAAACAAGAAGACACATTACAAACAAATATTGAATTTCAACCAATACATATTTCAGTGGAGTGCCGTTTAAGCTACTCGAAATGCACATCATGCTTGATTTGATTGCTATGCTCACAGCCTCACCTAATTTCCTTTTCTGTTCTTTTTTTAAATCAAGGCTTCCATCTTCTACATTTCTAAATTCTAATAAGTCATTTTATTCTTTCCTCTTTGTTTTAACATGAGATTGACAGAGAGTTTAAAAGTATGCGTTTAGAGAGAGATTGGAGGGGGGGGGGGGGGGGGGGGGGTAGAGAGAGGCACTTGTCTCACCTCACGAGCTCTCGAAACAGGGAAAGCAACAGTGACAGACTCTGCAAAAGCTGAAACATCACCCTGCAACACCAAAACAGCGGTAGCTGCTAGGGCGCAAGCACTCCTCTTTGCAAATTTCACCCAACATTCGCCTGTCTCTGTACAATCTCTCCTTTCAGATCTAACGGGGAGACTACGAAACCGATTCCCACAGGAATTAACACCAACCCTAGGCCTACCAAAACAAAATGAGCCTAACTCTGAAAATGTAGGCTTCAAAGGCAAAGATAGAGGACTGTGCTTAAACCCCAATTTAGGGCACAGCGCCTCCATTTACAGGGCGAAATAGGGCTTATTGAATGTCCGGGACCTATTGAAACTAGGGTTTCTTTAAAGTTTTAGACCATGCAGCTCCTCTGCTAAGGCTTGAGAGATGTTTATGGAGTATAGAGAGAGAGTGTGTGTGAAGAAGGAGTGGAGGAAGAGAAGCCATGGCTGCAGGTGTGTAAGAAGAGAGATTCCGGGCCCATTCTCTCTCTAGAATCTACTAAATTTGTGGTTCCGCTCGTTCCTCACTCTAACGTCCCTATCGTGTGTTTTTCTGCTCTCCCTCTCCCTCTCCCTCTCCCTCTCCAGCATTTGAAACAAACAAAAGCTTGCTTGCGTGGACGTGAAACTCCCGCCTTTGTAAGGCAGCTGCGGGGTCCACGTGTTGCTGGCGGCGATACTAACACACACTTAAAGCCGCCTTCTAACCCTGATGGTCGGATTGGGGCCCGACCCGGACCCGGACCGATTCTAAAATATAATGTGAGACCTGGATCTTGATCGAACTCAAAATTCAAATATCTAACTATATTTTATATATTTGTTAAATATATACATATTATTTCAAGAGTAATGATCCTACGAGACCCTCACACACCCATGTGTGTAGGACCTCAAATGATCACCATTAAATTTGATACAGATTTCTAAAAAAGTGATCACATGGATATGGGATTTGATTTTTCTAGAGATTTGTGTTAAATTTAATGGTGATCCTTTTGGATCCTACACGCATGGGTGTGAGAGGGTCTCACATGGTCATTTGGTCATTTCTCTTATTTTAATATTATAATTAAAATACAATAGTTATATTTATTTAAATATCATTATTCGGGTTCATTGCCACTCCATAACCATATCGACTGCAAGTCCATTGCCACCCTTAGATCGAACTTTTTGCATAAAAACTTTCTTTTTCTTGGAATGCAAATTCGAAGAGTGTTTGTCATAGGGCTGAGAATTTATCCGGTTTAGATCTGAAACCCGAATTTGCTTATGAGCGGACTATTGGCCATAAAAACACAATATACACATAGAATGAATGCAGAAGATATGAAGATGAGATAGATGAGTGGCAAGGCAAGAAATGATAGAATTCTAAATTAATGCGTTTGCGAAAATTTAGGTATGGCACTGATAGACGATAAGATATAAGAGGCTAGATTTAGATGGGTTGGTCATATGTGGCGTAGACGCCATATAACACTTGTCAAGAGGTGCGAGTTAGTTCAAGTAAAAGGTTCAAAAAAGGCAAGAGGTATGCTCAAAAGGATATGATGGGACGTATTAAGAAAAGATACGAGGATTTATGACATCACTTTAGAGTATGACCCTTAATAGAGCATAATAGCGTACCAGGTACTAGTATGGACTCATAATGCTAGTCCAGTGTTCTCAATTAAAGAAGCTTGGGATTTTATTCACCATCAGGGAAATTCTCAACCTATTTTCAAGAAATTATGGTCTTCTAAATGTCATCCTAAAGTAAAATGGTTTTTATGGCTGACTCTTTATCATAGATTACCTACTATTTCTATGCTTCAGTAACTGTGGCAAGTGTTTCATTTCTGACTCTTCTATTCCTATTATGTTGAGAAATTGGTTAGCTTTCAGATTCCAGTCAAATGGTATGCTCAATATTTGAACATCTATCTTCTTCACTACTATTTGGTTTCTATGGGCGGAACAAAACCGGAGACTCTTTCAATCAATGGTTACTAGAAGGGTGCAATTGATTAGTCATATCATCTCTCATATCAAGGACTTAGCAGAGGCAAAAACTTGAGCTTTTCACTTGTCAGAGAGGACGATTATTGGAAACTTACATATTACATGGTGCTAGCAAGAAACTAAGTTCATTATTCCATTGGCATGGTCTTTTTTTAGCCCCCAACAATTCAAGTTTAATATTGATGGTGCGTCCTTGTAGAACCCGAATCCAGCAAGTGGTGGTGGAGTTATTTGAGATTGTGATGAGGCTTTCATTGCAGTGTTTGCCAAACCTTTTGGTATTGCTTCCAATATTTTTGCAAAATTTTTTGCTTTGGAAGAAGGTTTGACTCTAGTTGTTCGAATGAATCGCTTTCCGCTGCAAATAGAAAGTGATTCCTCTTTGCTCGTGAATGTTATCCATGATTATTGCAGAGCCCCATGGGCTTTACATACGGTTGCAACCAATTGCAGGTCGCTCTCTAATCGTATGTGATCCATTACCCATATCTTTCATGATGCAAACACAATAGCTGATATTTTTGCTAAAAGAGCCACATCCCGTTTTGAGGCTACAGTTTGACGCTCTCGTCCACTAGATTTTATTATAATTGCTTTTACTTCATGACTTAGCATAACTACCCTACTCTAGGGTTATAAAGTAATGAGCTATAACCTTTTTATTTTTTATTCATGAAAAACGGGTAGGGGCCTTCTCCCCCACTAATTTACCCACAAATAAATAAAAATGGACGACCAAGATTTGTATAATAGATCTCAATTAGTTGATAAAAGGTTTTGATGTTGATGATATTTATATTTACTAGTTTGAGTAGATTACTAACAAGAAAAAATTTATATAGAGCCGAGGCTCTAAACAATTAAATTAGAGACCACCTCAAAAATCTCATTAAAAAAGGTTGTTATGATGCCCATATATCCTCCAATTAATCATCTCGACATCTTGATGCATGGATGAGAGAAAAAAATGGATTTCAAGTTTTGGAAATAGTATATTTTATAACATATTTTTTGAGCTGTCAATTTTGAAGATTTTAAAGTTTCCATAGATATGCTCAATCTACATTATTTTTTAAGCTTTAAAATTTATAATTAAAGATGAAAATATATTTTAAGGTTATATTTCATGTATTGAAACCATATTTCTCCGCACCATGGGCAACCATATTTCTCCACACTATTTGAAAGTGGGCTTTACATTGATTGTTTAGAGCTTAAGTTCTATACAAACCGCAACCTCGCTTCTTTTGTTTTTTTTTTTTTTTTAAAAAAAAAAAACAGTAGTAACAAGAGGAATGAAGTCCCAAAAGCGTGATCTCCGTGGATAAGGGTTGATGTCCACAATATTATCCAATCTCATAACCCCCCGTAGAAAAATCACACAGTGACCCACCCTCCAAGAAAGCCTCAGCCATGGCTGCCATTTTCTCCACCTCCACCATTCTACCAACCCTAATCCCCCTTCCAAACCTATCCTCCTCCTCCAGATCTATCCCCAATTCTCCTTCTACCTCCACCAAATCCATCGCCAATTGCACCTCTACCAATGCTGAATCCTTATCCACCTCTGCCAGCAATTTTGTTCATAATAACATTTTCCCCGCAGCCATATCCGCTGCAACCGCGGCGGCCATCGCCGCCATAATCTTCGCCTCCCCACTCCCTGCCACAGCAGACGACGGCTTCACTGTCTACTACGGCACAGCTGCGAGTGCTGCCAATTACGGTGGGTATGGTGGCAATTCAAGCAAAAAGGATGCGGCGGAGTACATATACGAAGTCCCCCAGGGGTGGAAAGAGAGACTAGTCTCAAAGGTCGAGAAGGGAACAAACGGCACCGATAGCGAATTCTACAACCCGAAACGCCGCACAGAGCGAGAGTACCTCACATTCCTTGGAGGATTCCGGCAGCTCGCACCGAGCGATGCAGTTTTGAACAACTTGGCGCTGTCGGATGTGGGATTGCAGGATTTGATCGCGAGCGGCGAGGTGCGGTCGACAGAGAGGAACGATGAGAAGGGGCAGCTGTATTATGAGTATGAGGTGGAGGGTGCAGCTGAGCATAGCTTGATTGCAGTTACATGCGCGAACAATAAGCTTTATGCACATTTTGTTAATGCGCCGGCCGCAGAGTGGCAGCGGGATCAAGATACACTCAGGCGGCTGCACGCCTCCTTCAGGACCGTGAATTCGTAGGGAGGGAAGTGCTCTCTCTCTCTCTCTCTCTCTCTCTCTCTCTCATGAGAGCTTCCACTGCTTCCATGGGCCGCCACTTTCACACCTACAATCTAAAAGTCTTAATAGTTAAGAATTTTGTCAGTCACTCTTACATCTCTACCAGTACAAGGGCATTTGAGTAAGATCTTGGGCTTTATTTCAGCCTTTTTCTTTTTTGATTCTCCTAGCGATGTGTTCCACGAACCAGCAAAACTTTTTGTATATTGGTGTTCTTGAGCAATGTTCTGCATTTTTATCTTTATTTATAGGGTGTGGTTTGTATAAGGAGGCCCTAAACAATCCAAGTAAGACGTGCCTTCAAAGAGTGTTGAAAGATGTTATTTGGAAATCTTTGTGATGGCTTGAAAATTTAATTTCATCTTGTAAAGCTTCAAAAATAGTGTAGATGGAGCATATCCATGAACAGTTGAAAAACTTGAAAATTGTTTTAACTTGAAGATTGACGGTCCAAAAATGCATTACAAGATGCACTATTTCCAATAATTGAAATCCATTTTTCCTCATGTCTATATATCTTGAGGCTGAGATGATCAATTTGAGGATTTTTTAACATCAAAACAACTTTTTTTAATAAATTTTTAAGTGCCCCTACTTTGATTGTTAAGGGCCTTACCCTTGTATAAAACGTTTTTCTTATTTATATACTATCAGACTTCATGGTAATATTGGTTGAAAAGGGCCCGAATGCCTAGTTCAACGATGAAAAGTAACATTAATAAATTCATAGAACAAACATATCCCCACAAAATGTAAACATGGAACTGCTCTTCACATAAGACATAACTAACAGAGTCCAATGTGACATCGACCAGATCATGGGTGTTTTGAGTGTAAAAACAATTGTGTCTACTATAAAGAAAGTCCACCTAGAAGTGTATTAGCAAATAACACAAATCAAACGCAAGGAAAAAACCAAATTTTAGGGCCTTGGCTAACACCCAAAGAAAATGTTTTTTTATTTTAAACTGTTTACTGTATTATGTATAAATTAAGGGGGTTACAAGAAACAGCAACGTACAAAAAATAGGCTAACCCTGAGATTGGGTGCCCTATACAAAAACCGACAAGGGGCCCAAAAAATCCAAACAATCCTTACAATCAGTCACTGTAGAGGGGTCAGTAACGCCAAAAGGTAGTAGATGACCCTGCTGTGGGATTGTTTGAAGCGGCCTACCTAGCCAGGAGGATGGCTTCAGCATTTGCTTCCCTCAAATGTGTTTACAGGACACTGAGATAGAGTTGTTGATATGCAAGATTTCATTAAAAATGTGAGCCAAGCGCTAGGGGTAAGTACACTGACAAGTAGCCCAGGAAATGGTGTTCTTTGAATCCCCTTCGATTTGTAGGACATAGCCCCAATTAGGATTGAATTTTCTGAGGCCCGTGAGGGCAATGGCCTCAGCTAGGGAAGAGTTGGCATGTCTAATGGGGCTGGAGAAGCAGAGGAGAGTGCTACCCGTGTGGGATTCGAAACTGCCTCCAACTCCTGAGGGGCCAGGGTTGCTAGGGAACAACCATCAAAATTAAGTTTGATGTTGCCTACCACAGGGAATATCGAGAGATGGTGGATGTTCGCAAATGAGGAAGGGCCTGCTAGTTTTGAGTGAAATCAGCATGTGAATAGTGTCTGAATGTATGGTGGTGCGTGGCCCAAAAGGTGACAAGGTTTAGAATCTCGTCAAACATTGCTCAATTGAGCATCTTTCCACCCCTAAAAGCTTTGTTGTTCGTTCTAACTAGATGACCCAAATTATGGCTGCTATAGTTGCTCTCCAGAGTGTGAGGACAGATTTAGACCAAGGGAGAAAGAGAGATGTGGGGAAAAGGTGAGGTATGGACTCAAGGGTAACCAAGGTCCAACTAAAGAGGGTCAGCAGTCTAGACCAAAGGGAGCCGGTGAAGTCACAGGATAGTAAAAGGTGGCTGCTAGTTTCCTCGGCTCTGGTGTGCATGACGCACCACCTATTGGGTAATGGGAGGTCTCTAACTTGGATTTGGTCAATGATGAGAGGTCTTCGGGATAAAAAAGCCAAAGAAAGGCCTGAATTTTGGGAGAGGAGAGGTGAAGGGGAACCAGGCTTTAGTCACGAAAGGGAGGACTAGGGAGAAAGAAGCTGGAAGAGGTGATCTTGTGGTACATAGAAGCCACAGTGAAGGATCCCAAAGGGGGATGGGGTCCAAATGAGTTTTATCTTCGCCACTAGGGGGAGAAAAACCTGGTCAAGGAGCGCAGACATCGTGGTGAACTCTTGAAATTCTCTATCCATAAAGACCCTTCTCAACTCTGAGCTCCAGGATCTCCCCAAGTTATTCTGGGGGAAGTAGTCAGCCACAGTAGCCATAGGGATTGTACCACTCGCAAAAGAAGAGGGAACACATTTTTCAGCTAACCACAAGTCTTCCCAAAAGCAAATGTGATGGCCTACTCGAGGATGAAAACGGATGTTTGATGGTAAATATCCCGACACCTTAGGATGGATCTCCAAAGCCCCGAGATTCTACCACGGTTTTGAAAGGTGGAGCCAATCATTGTTGCACAAACAGTATATGTGGCAAATAACTTGCCCACAAAGTTCATAAGGTTGGGGGCCGTACCGCACAACCACTTCCTTAACAAAGCAAGGTTGTTGCCTTGGAGCTTGCTGAAGCCAGCCCACCTTGAGCGATGGGGGAGCAAACTTTGTCCCATGCAATAAGGTGTTATTTAAGACCCTCGATAACTGACCAACGGAAGTTCCTCATTAATTTCTCCAATCTCGTGACCACTATGGCCGGCATGTGAAAGTGGGACATTTGGAATATAGGATGCTTAAAAAGGTGGCTTTGATAAGGGTTTTACACCCTGCAAATGATAGAAATCTACCCTTCCAACCAGCTAGTCTTCTATTGAACTTGTCAATGAGACGACTCCATTCATCTGATGAACATTACTAAATCGAGCTCTATCTATATTAACCCTTGATAGGGTAAAATGTCGGATCTGGATTTGTATAGCCGACCCCAAATAGTTTGAGAAATGGCTCAAATGATGATGCGTTGTATCTACGTTAACAGAAACATTAGACCAAGAAAACAGTTCCAATACTTATTGGAACCACCCTAATACCAACTTTCAGCATCATTGAATATCAAATCACATTTTAAAATATAGCCCGCAAGCCACCCCCATCCACAAATAAAATTTACAGTTCTAACGTTCACACCACTCAACACCAAAATCCCAAAAAACCTGAATAAAGAATTACAACACATATACTACAAAATATGAAAGAGAGGGCTTTTTACACCGAGAGAACAAGGACTGATACCCTCCCAATTTCCTTGCAAATCTTGAGATGCCTTCTAAAAGCCCAAGCAGCTCTCCCCCAACAAAAGAAACATACAATCCAATCTCAGCTGATTGAATCATAATCATAAACCTTGGCAGCTGGATTGGAGAAAGATGGATCAATGGAGTTCTGCTCTCATCCTCATTCTTGCTTTGTGCATAGATTAGGTTCAGAGTCTTCTTCTTTTGCCCTAAACCTAGTTCCAATGACCAAAATTCATTCTTAATCATTACAGAAGCTCCTTGTCATAGAATACCATCTGAAGCTGTTTCACAAGGTTAAGCCATGCAGCAACATTCTGCCCATCCACTGTGATCCAGTCAACAGCTGTTGCAGCCGGTTGCTCCCACCACTCATCAACCTGCAATATTTGGAAACGGTTGACTGGGTTTAGCGGCATTATTGTCTATCATTTTGAGGGGGATAATTCTCAAACTATGCTTTTTCTTTTTCTCCCATTTTTCAAACTAAAAAATTTACTTGGGTGTCTTATAAGAATCCTCATTATAACTGTTAGGACATGAGAAGTACCTTCCATTCTTTCTTTTTTTCAAATAATTGTTGCATGTACTATGATGCAAGGGGTGTTCTTGTCATGTACCCTTATTCCAAGCATTCAAGCCACAAATAACTTCAAAGATGACATTCAGAAATTAAAAAAACTAAATGAGACAGAGAGAGGTGGTTCCAAGAGAAATGGCAAGAAGATGGCATGATGGACAGAAGCATAACTACTTATGTTTTGGTCATCAACATAAGCATAGCTAGTAGGGTTCTGATGTGGATATAAGTAAAGAGTAGGATTGAGAACATAAAAACAAGAAATAACACAAAAAAGGTCTCCTCTACATATAGATTTTGTTTTTCTTCTTACCAATCCTCGAACACGTTTGCAATCTTCCAAGCATTTCTGAGCATCCAGAACTGATTTCCTTAGTTCAGGCAACCATTTCTCCATGATTATCTTGTCCTGCTCTGTAGCTAAATTCAAACAGAAAGTGGTAATCCTGCAAAGTAAAGGAAACAAGTAAGAAAGTTTTCAAGCCCTGCATAAGAAACAAGACGCTAATCTTCAGGTTCTAGACAAAGAGACAGAAAAGGTTCAACTTAGGTCCTGAATATGGAAGATCTAGTAAATGAGATGTTCTATATGAAAATAGAAATGGTGTATAATTTTCTCAAAACTGTTGCCCGCCAAATCATAGTTATACATCCGGACTTCTTAAATTCCTAATAATCTCTATTAAATGAATTACTTCGAATCTTATTCTTATTTGAAGAAACAAAGAAAAAAACTCTCATTACCATTGGAAAACCACGGCTCATAGAATCATCACTTTCCAATGAAACAAAAGACAGTGATAGAGAGAGATCGGACATGACCTCATGGTGGTTCTGACTCTCTGTCCATGACCACCCATCAATTTATTGGATGGGGATGACCCCATAAGTTGCAGTTTTCCATAGTCTGTCATATCCCACAATTTACTGGGCAGGAAATAGCATAAATACAAAAGAGTAAGATACCTCTCATACTCTTGCTGTGCACGGTGTGCATGGCTTAACAATGAACGGCCACTGTCCACAAGATCTTGACGAGTATGAACTTGATTGATTGCTTTAGACAGATCCTCTAGAATACTAGCTTCAGAGCCTCGTAGTTTCAAACAAAACTCCAGGGATTCCAGCACTGATGCTAATCCAGCATCTGAACTTTCCAGCCCTGAACATGTTGCACAAGATCAGAAACCAATATCTTACACGAGTAACTTTCTCTATCTAAACCTTCTAAACAGGTTACCTTTTGGCAAGAATGCTGACAGATGAAGATGACACAATTTTCCAATTCAAGAGCAATTCTTGAACCACTAAATACAAATTGCAAGTAACCAGTAATCCAACGGACAATGAAACTGACAATATCCTTGAGTCATCACAGCACAATGATATCATGGATGGTGATGGACGCTGGGAATCACCATTGTGGCCATACCATGTTAGAGTGTGCCCATTCTATATCCATCACCATCAATCACTTCATTGGACGGTGATGATCCAATCCTAGGTCTGAAACCCCTCCCCCTCTAACCTGAAACCTAAAATCCTTGAGTTAAAAGAGTAAAAACTATTTTAGGATAACAAGGAATCAAGTACAAACATGCAAGATAGGACTTAGGCTACTAAAAGGAAACTATATATTAGTCACTAATGCTGAAGACCACCCAAAAACATATGTGCCACATGAACCAATCATATCCGATCTCAAAGTATACATACCGGCATGATACTGAAGGGCTGCAGAAACGCGACAAATAGATGGAATTGCAGACGGATCTCGTGCACCAGCTCTCGCAGTTAACATCACTGCATTTTTCTCTGCAGCTGCAACAGCTTCTGGTCCCGTAGATCCAGTAGCACCAAAGGATTCCAAAAGACCCTGGTTTAGCATAAAAAACAACAAGCACTTGTTATCTTGTATCAAAGTTCAAAGTGGCATTGTGGTAGCAATGTGGTTTCATATATAAGTGATCCTAGGTTCAAGTTGTGCTTTGGTCAGTTGGTGATGGCATGGCATTTTTAAAATAGAAAAAGCTCCAAAAAAACAAAACAGAAGATTCATTGACAGGATTCGAACTCCCAATGCTACAAGGTTTAACGTTCACTCTACCACCTAAACCTTTAACCATGTTTTAGAAAAATGCTAGACACTTACATATACCATGTCGATACGTACCAAAAACTGATGATGTTATCAGACCGTACAGTCAACTGTCGATGTGTCTGTGTGTGTCAACACGCGACACCATGCAAAATACGAAGTGTCCAGGTAACACTGACTACTACACCTTCTACTAACCAAATTCCTTCTGCGGAAAGGGATTAACAAGGTGGTTTGGACACAATCCAGCAGAAGTAAGTCCTTGGTCTCCTATTACTCTCTGGAACACACCCCACCCCCCTTCCAAAAAAACAAAATATAGCCATCCCTTACAAAGCCTGGCATTCTCTCGCTCCACCAAAGGTTCAAAGCTGTCAATTGAGTAGTTCTGTTAAATAGAGAACTCGCTGTGGACCAGCTACACAGGAGAGGATTCCACTTCCTCAGCACTGTGTAAAGGGAAAGCTGGCCAGCCACCATTTGGACCATATGGTTTGGGCGCAACCAATGGACCTTTGAAGGGAAAAAGGTAACATTGTAAGCAATCGAAGAGCATATCAAATCCCTTATCATCTTTTGGACTAGGGGATGCAAAGGGTTCCGTGTCTTTGCAGTGGTGGAATTCACGATGGACTGGAAAACCATTAACGTTTCCCGCTCAGTGATAATCCCTGGATTGTCTCTTTGGAAACTACCAGAACCAGGCTACATCAAACTTAATACAGAGTTTCTCTCTTGATAATCTGGGACCTGCAGGCTATGGGGGCAAACCACAATATCATCCTCAAGATAACTTGCCGTTGTTGACTGACAATGGCTGTGGCACTTCCCCTGATGGAAGGACTTTTGAGATTCAACCCATCTCAGGTTACATCCCTATTCGTGGAAGAAGACTAAAAACTAAATTCTTTGGAGATCTAAACTTGCTTTCTGTCCTTGGAGACTTGAACCCAATTTTTTACCACATCTTTCACATTGCGAGCCCCTTCAAGTCAACTTTCATCACATTTGAAAGGAGGCCAACTCTGCCACTGATGCTCTCAAAAAGAGGGCACCTTCATATGGAATTCTACTCCATGCGAGGCAGCAAACACTTTTGATGGCTGCTACAAGGGGGTGTACCCCCATTTTTGGTTTATGAGTGATGCACCACTTTATGTACATCTCACGACTCTCGATGGGAGTTCTGCCCAAGTTTGTATAAATCCATTGTAACTCTGAGCACCCAACCTGTGGGCTGGCCCTTTTGCACATTATGTAAAAATGCAGCCGCATCGCCGCACATGCGGCTACATAATGCTCTATACGCCCCCCCGAATCGCATCGCATAGGGGCGCATATTCGCTTTGGTGGGATGCGCCCGCATCCCACTGCATATACAGCTGCATAGCACATATGCACCACATAGCTCATGGTCATGGGCAAAAATAGAGCCAACGAGCATGGGTATTTTTGTCATCCCCTCCCCCCCCCAAAAAAAAGGGGGCGAAATAGTTTTGTATTAAACCCCCCAAAACACTGTTTTGAATCAAACGAAGAGAAAAAATTAGGCAGAATTTCTTTTTGCAAAAAATTGTCGATCAATTGGGATTAGCTTGGGCGTTGTTTTGAAGAAGTTTGAGCATAGATTTGTCAACATATCAAGGGTTTAAAGGGTCGAGTTTGCAATTGTGATTATGGTTTATGGATGTTCATGAATTATGATAATATGTCTTTTACAAAGTGACTTTCAAGTTTCCAGTTTCTACTTTCTAATGTCTTCTATCAAGGGATTAAGAGTCTCCAAACGGCTAATAATATTGGAGTTAATGAATAAATTAAATATATTTAAGTGTACTTAGGTGTGGCACCAATAGGCGATAAGATGAGAGAAAATAGACTTAGGTGGGCTGGCCATATGCTACGCAGACCCAATACAACACCTATTAGGAGGTACGAGTTAGTTCAAGTGGAAGGCTAAAAAAAGGCAAGGGGTAGGCCTAAAAGGACATGATTAGATGTAGTGAGAAAAAATAGGATTTATGGCCTCACTAAGGGTAGGGCCCTTAATAGAGCAGAATGATGGACCATTATTCGTGTAGCCGATCTCAATTAGATGGAAAAAGGCTCTGATGATGATGAATGAATAAATTAAATATCATCACATAAATCACCTCCATTTTTTTTCATGCATTAACCTATTTTTTGATATTTTTTGGAATTTTTTATATTTATTAACCGCATTAGGGTTATGCGCCTGCATCTGGACCGCATGGAGCTGCATCGCCACATCGGCGCTCTAACCACATGGGGACCACATCCCATTTTTTAAAACACTTGCCTACACCTTCACTAGTGTTTTTATAACAGCTCTTCTCAAGAAAGGAAAAAAGGTGATTCACACGAGAAATATTTATGACTGCTACTGACTGATTATTTAGTTATTTTCAAGAACAGCTTTTCAAGAGGGAGAGTAAATAACTGTTGTCTGTTTGATAATGGAGAAAGAAGAATAAGTTAATAACTATAAAAGCGACAGACCAACAAATGTTGCATAACTTCTATAGTTATTTCTCTACTAGTGATATTCATGTTGTACAGGCTAGCAAATGCTATTTAAAAAATCAAGCTATTCTTCCTATAACAAGCAGTGTTTCAAAAATCTCCAAGCCAACTAGGGCGCAAGTCAGCTCAGCTCAGGACCGTGGGAAGTCCCAAGTCAAAAACTAGGGATTCACCAGAGTCACCCTTTTTTGTCATATTTATGGCAATCTTTTACTAACTTGGCTGAGTCTTTTTCTAACTCTTCTGAGTTGAACAGGGTGGTTAGGCTTCAAGACCGTGGCAAGTCCAAGCCTCAATACTTGTTCTAAAACACTAATAACAACAAGCATAATCAGTTAAAGAACCAACCTGTGGAGTTGAGGGTAACATGTAAAGACTATTATCTGGACTTTGGCAGAAAGCAGACACCTCTCTCTCTATGAGATCCTTTGACCCTGCTGATTTTTCCAGAACTGCTCTGCATGCTGGAATAATAGTGCTTGATGCATACTCCCGAGCAGCTAAAGGCTGCTGATCCCAGAATGCAGCTGCATCCTACATTCATTGAACATAAACTGATTTGTGACAATATAATAAGTACCTAAAAAAGTGACAGCACATTGCCTAATACGTATGACTCTCTCTTCTAGCTCATTACCAGGAATAAATTTCAACTAATAAACATGCCCAACAAATTAGGCAAAAGATGGCATTGCTTTAAAACATGAACAGGCAATGTAATTATAGGTGCATGCCCTTGTGCATCAGTTGTTAAGAAACAACATGATTAGCAATATGCCTCAAAAACAAGTAAACTGCAAGAACTCCTAGTACCCTGTCCACAAAACTGACATGTAGGCTTGATTAACCATTTCCCAGGTGCATTTGTGGCGGGGCAGCATGCATTGGATTAGGAGTAATCCACTGCCTATGACACACTCGTGTCCACAACTGAATTCACAAAGTCATGAAAGACCACAATGAATCACGGGCAACAAAGGCATCCTAATTTCAAAAATGGAAGGGCTCGAAACTAGCTATATATCAAAAGCGAAAGAGAGAAAAAAACAGGAAACAAAAATTTCTAAACTTCCATTATCCCTTACCATATTTGCACGGAGCAAAGTTGTATAGATTGTTTCTAGTTCTGATCTCCGAGCATCAAACTCTTCTATCTTTTTCCACTTCTTTCGCAAGGAAGCTTCTGCTTCTTTCCACTCTGTACAAAGCTTATTCAAGCGGGTCATCTCACATGTCAATGTATTCAAGCTTGCCCTTAAGCCTGCTGCTTTTCTTTCTTCTGCCCAAACCTCCAACTGTTCGGGAAACAAAAACTAAAAAATGTCATCCAAATGTGATTTATTCAGCAATACTTAAGACAAGCTTAATATACCCAGCAATTTCTCTAGGCAAGATATCATACACAGTGATCAAGAATATGCTCAAAAGAAGGTCACAACTGCCTGACTCAACATTAGCATGAGGACACTTCATAGTCCATTCTAGGTTTGCTCATTTGTTTATCAATAGTTTTCACTCACCTTCACCTGGTGTTAAGTTCCTTCCAGAAGAACCTGCTAAATAAATGCATATTTAACAGAAAAAGATAACAAGGATAAAAAAAATCCAGCTGCTTACTGTTCTCCTTTTCATAATGGGAGAAGAAGACTTCATCCAATTACTTAAAAAGAAGAAGTTTATATAAGGTGTCAACCTTAAGCTGTACAAGTAAGGTGCACCTTAGAAACCCATGGGGAAAGGTTGTTTGGTCACTAGAAAACCCTTCAATTGATCATCTTGACCTTGAAATGTATGGATAGAAAAGAAAAAAATGAATTTCAAACATTAAACATAGTATATCTTGTAACACATTATCTATACCGTCAATTGTCGAGATTTTAGAGTATTCATAGATCTGCTAGATGTGCGTCATTTTTGGAGCTTTCAATTTCATAATAGGGGTGAAAAATAGATTTTTAGGCCATCACAGAGTTTCGGCATCGAAAATGCAACTTTTAACAAGTTTTTGAGGTTCACCTTACCATGATTGTTTAGGGTTGACACCTTATACAAACTTCACCCATTAAAAGACAAGAGGCTTTTCATCGATACCCATCAGACATGGAAGAATGTGTTAGAAAAGAACTTAACACCAGGTGAAGGTCAGAGAAAACTAAAAACAAATGGTGCATCAAAGAAAACTAAGCATTGGTTGGATGTGGTGTGTCTAAAGATGCATAAGGGGCTTTCATTGCGGATTTGACAGTCCCATGGTGATTTCCATCAACAATAAGGTCAATAGCAAAACCACATATTGGAGATTGATTAAGAGCCTGCTTTATTGTCGAATTCTATGAAAAGGTACTCAAATTTCAAAACATAATAGACCACTTCACAGTTTGAAAAATTGCGGTCCGTTGAGAAGGGATGTTTGATTGTTCTGATTTAAACTTTTTTTTTCTTTTGGAAACGGGGATTGTTCTGATTTAAACTTCACTTTCATTTTGTTTGGATTATGTGGTTTGTTTAAGTGTCTCCGCTTAAATAACAATTCTAACTAGTGATGGGTGGTAGTGTTGGCAGCGACAGGGAAGTGGCAGTCGTGAAGTTGTTGGTGGTGGTGATGATCGTGAGAGAGAGAGAGAGAGACAGAGACAGACAGAGACAGACAGAGAGAGTGGGGTTTGAGAAAGAGACGAGCATAGACTCAAAATGTAATTTGGGGAATTGCAAAACCCTTGATGTAATATTTGATGAAACTGAGTAGATTTTTTGCCTTTTGCTTCTTCTTTTTTTTTATAATCATTGATGTTACTGAGTTCCTAATATTATGGAGCATAGACTTAAATGTAATTTGGGGAATTGCAAAAACTTTGATTCAACTGAGTAGGATTTTTTATTTTGTTTTTGTTTTTTTTTTTAATCTTTGATGTTATTGAGTTCCTAATATTATGGAATCTTAAATTTAGTTCCTAATATTATGGAATCTTAAATTTAGTTCCTAATATTATGGAATCTTAAATTTAGATTTAAGATTCCATAATATTAGGAACTCAGTAACATCAAAGATTAAAAAAAAAAAGAAAACAAAATAAAAAACCCTACTCGGTTACATCAAAGCTTTTGCAATTCACTTTTCTTCTCTCCAAACATATATTATGGAATCTTAAATACACTTTTTTATAGTGTTTAACATTCACAAAATATTCCAATAAGATTATGACCTAGTTATTCACATCAAAAAATAAATAAATAAATAAATAATCATAAGAAGTTTCAGATATACTGCTACTGTGGGGTACAGTTCTATTGTTGTGCCTTAAACAGAACCTGCATCCCCCAAAAACCTGAACAACTCTTTATGGGACAAAGCAAAAAATTGAAGTTTAAGATAACAAAGGAACCTAAAATATGATTACATAAAAGTTCACTTCTCAAAGATGCTACTTTGGGGTCAAGTATTAATATTTTTGGACACGGATTCATTGCAAGTTGTTTAAACTGAGAGCAAGATAAAACCCCAGGATACTAGCTCAAACTTCTATAAAAGTGCACCAGAAGTCATACCTCAAAATGTCTGAGACTGCCCACATTCTGCAGTGAACCCCCAACTGAGTGTGTGGATGCTCCGTCTTCACTTCCCTCCAAGCGTCTGATCAGCTTTGAACAAGTATTCCTAGCTTCAGCAGCTTTGTTCAAAGCATCCTCAGTCGCTATAAATTGTTGCAAGTGTGCTTTCTAAAGCCAATGGGGGTAATTAGACATCAGCCAAAAAGCAAAATGACACCCGTAAGTTTCATTACAAATAGGCCATATATTTCATTTTAAAAAACAAAAAAAATCAGCTCTCATAAAAGCAATGAAAAATGTAGAAAATGTCAAATCACTTTGTGAGCCCCCAATAAAAATATAAATCTACGACCAATCCAAACCAGTCATTCCAACCATGACAGCCCTTTTTTTGGAATGATTACCAATAAAACCCATTCAAAATTCTAAAAACCATATGGTCCTTACTATGCATTCAACAACTCAAAAGTCAGCAATATTACATGTTTGTCACCAATCAAGAATATGCATGCAACAGCGTAAATAAAGAAGTTTGTGTCTTTGTATGTTCCTGTGTGTGGAAGAGAGAGAAATTAGAAACAAATTCTAATCATGGATATTTTTTCTTCCCCAAAAGGTAAAGAAAGAGTACTAGATGGAAAAATGATTTAAGAAGACCATGAGAAATGACCGACAACTACACCTTATAAATTTTCTCAAAAAAATCTCACACATCAATAGCAACTCCATATGCACTATCCACACCTTGAAAGGACAAGCAGAGCACTTCCCCAGCATCAAGCCGCAGCAAGCAAGACATTGATCAACCACCACCAGCAAAGCAACAAGAACCAGCACAGCATTACCTTATGAGGAGAGTTGTTGAGATGAAAGCTTTGGCAGGTTCCTAGTCATTGATGTCAGCTAAGCACCATGTGATACATGGGATGGACAGATTTGGATTTCTCTTGGGATTCTAAATGTGCGTATAATTTATATATTTTGGGGATTTGGTGTTTTTAGCATAGGTTATTGGGGCTTTGGAAGTCAAGTGTTAGTTTGTTTTTTTAGGTTATGGCTATTTAGTAAGTTTAAGTTAAAATGAAGAGTTGAAAATTTAAGTAATAAAAGGCTAGGATTTCATAGAGATTTTTAGGGCTTTTCTAGTTACTTTAATACTTGTTTAGAGAAAGAAAGAAGAGACTCAGTTATTTACTCATGCTATAGATTTTTCTGTAGAAGAACATTTAAGTTTGTGATGCTTCTTTCATGATTGATTTCCTTCTGTAGCAACTTTGTGTAGAATTTCGTATTTGTTGGTTTAATTTCTTGCACGCTTTGATTTTTTTTTTCAAGAATAAAATACCAAGGCCTGGGTCAATTGGTATCAGAACATATCTTCTGGCATTCGAGTTGTAATTCGAAGATGTCATTGAGAAGACGATCCCTTGCTGCAAATCAAGATGGATTTGCCTAATTGTAACAAACCATCACCAAATAGGAACACAAACTAGATCAAATCATGCATATATGCTGGCGGTGTAACAGCCTGGAAGGATACCAGTCATTGGATAAGAATACCAAACAATTGATTGTTATAGGGAAAGATCCACCTTGAATCTGCTTCATCAACAAGGGGCCTTGGCAATCAGCCTCCATGATTATCATGGAGAAACTTTATTTTCATCACCTTTTTCACAAATCATGGAAATCATGGATTGGGACTCACCACCAATCTTCAACATATACCTGGCATCCCAGATGATGATTTAAGTATTGCTGAGAACCTGATTCTTAATGAGTGGTTGGATTTTGTGGATGGATTTATTAATGGTAAATCCATAGAGAACATGAAGAACACTGAATTAGGTCTACTCTTATCAGTTCCTCCATATACACACATTGATCCATTTCTTGAGGCATTCTAGGTACCATTTAAACTAATATGTCCAGTGAAGAGAAAGGTTGAAGAAGATTTGTGGATTTTCTGTGGCCATCCGAAACCATTTCAAAACTCGAAGATAAATTTTCTCCAACCGGAGGCATGGAATGGACAGAATGGGCTTTTTCTTTTGGATTCTAATTGCAAGATTAAGGGAATATTTCGGGGATATTTTAGGGCTTGTTTTTGGTATTTTTCTAATATAGGTTACTGGGGTTCGGGAAGTCATGTGTTTGTTGTTTTGGTTATGGTTGTTTAGTAGGTTTAAGTCAAAATGACGGATTGAAATTTGAAGTCATGAAAGATAGAATATTATAGAGATTTTTTGGTTTTTCTAGTCAGTTTAAATGCTTGTTTAGAGAAACAACGAAAGGAGACTTGGAACACTTACCCATGTTATTGATTTCTTCCATGAAGAAAATTTGAAGCTTATGATACTTCTTTCATGGTTGATTTCCTTCTCCAGCTATTTTTTGTAGAACTGGTGTTTGTTGATTTGATTTCTTGCATGCTTTGATATGTTTGCAGGAATAAAATACCAAGTGGTTCAAACAATGCTAAAGGATTGTGTATCTGTGTCTACGTGTCGCCATCGCTGTGAAATGGACATGTCATGTGACTTAGGTGGGTTGGATCTTGGAGGTACATCATGTTGGTTAGGTACTGAAGGGCTGCTTTAGCAAAGTTAGGTTGGTGTGACATCATTTATCCCACACATTGCCACGTCAACTTCTGGTGTACTGTTACTATTTAATGAAAATTGAAGACCAAAGAGCATTGTAATGAAATTTTCTTATATCATCCAAGGATGTCATTGACCAGATCACAATGTTTTTTACTGGCTTCAGCCATTGACCAGTCCAAGTTGCTCGGTGGCGAGTCAAACTAGAGTGGACAAATAGGGCATGGCAAAATAAAGGTCATAAAATATAAAGAAACACACTTAAAAATCTGTTAAAATAGGAAAATAAAAAACAAAGAAAATGATAAGCATTAAAAGATGTATATAGAAAATGAAAAAATTTTCAAAAAATAAAATAAGGAAAGGGAAACTGTTTAAAGTTCATTCTCTATGAAAAACGAGAAAATATAGAGAAAATCTTCAAAAGATATAAAACCGTAAAAAGTATTAAAAAATCTAAAAATGCCATTTTCTAATTGGTTTAATCAAAGATTAGATCAATTATAATTATATTAATATAAAATTTGTATTAATTTTGCACCCCATATTTTGGGGGAACTCGGGAAAGGCAACCTGCCAAGCCCAAGTTACTCATGCGTGTCCAAGTCAACTCGCCCGAGTTGTAAAACATTACCAGATCAACATCATATTCCTGAAATCATATAAGCATACCATCTCCTAAGCTCTATTTAAGCACAATTAAGCTTGTTCATGGATATCTTTTGTTCCTGATGGACATTTAGATTCGTGTTTCAACTAGTTGTAGACTGTCAGGATAACATAAACATTCAAGCTCTCCATAAAAATGTGGACAATTGAGGAACGAATTGCAATTGAATGTCCTACAAGGGATAAGAAAGATCTTCAAACCACAGAAAGGCACCATAAGAAACATAAAAATAGTACAAATTAAGCAGTGGCTAGGCAGAGAAGTTTCAAATAAGACCTTTACAAATCGAAGTGCTCACCATGCAAATGTCGTGACCTGCTAAAGAACAAGTACCTGTCTTTCAAGAAGCTGGTTGTGTTTTCCCTTTGTGGAAACATCAATTCCTAGCTTTCCATTGCCGTAGACCTGAAACTGTAAGTGTGAACTCCCATCAGGAGATGCAGCATCTGTAACTCTGTTGTTCTCAAACTTGTATCTACAGGCAAGAAGGACAGTATAATGGTGTCAATAGGCCATGGATGCATATCTTATTCAACGTCATTCATGAACTGAAATGGCACTAGTCTTATGCTTGCGCATTAAATGGACAATCAGGTGCACAAAAATACAAAACATAACCAACTCCACAACCTAGAATATAACTCTACCAGAGAGCTTGAATTCATGCTCACCGATAAACCATTTTTTTTCCATACACTCGGTTCAATTTGGGAAATTCTAAAAGCTAATAAAATTGCTCTCAAAGAATGATAAAACTGAATATAAGTAGTAATAGCTGCTTAGAAATATGTATATACATGAAGTGAAAGAAATTATAAGCACCTTAGGAGTTCAGCATCAGCTCGAACATCAATTTTCTCTGTCTCTCTTTTTATGAGGCTCTTCACTCTTGAAGTATAAGTAGTAATTGCATGAAGCAGCTGTGGAGGACCTCTCAATGACTCTAGAGCAATGGCCTTCACATCATCAGGTATTTCACCATCAAAATCAAAACCCAGCTTAGCAGCTTCTATCTGGGGATTTGGATGAATGCCAGTTCCATCATAGGCAGGAAAAGCATTTCGTAATTTTTCGATCATATGAGCCGCAAGACCTTCACAAGCCTTCCGAATGTTTCTTTCTCGAGTTGATTCGATAAGAATAACATCATCTGCAGTCTTATTACCCTTGACGGTGGCATAAATAGATCCTTTATCACTCACTGCATGGAAATCATCGAGGACATCAGAACTGCTGCCAACCTTTAGCCTCCGGGCTTCTCTTGCCTGGTTGACATATTCCTGCAGACGTTTATGGTACTCAGCGAATATCTTAGCCGCCTCCTCACATTGCAGGTCATAAGCCTCCAACATCACCTGTTTATGCCTAAGCCAAAAAAAAAGGTAAACAAAGCAATTCTCGTAAAAATAAAATCAAACAACAAATTTACAAATTTATACCACCAAGAGGAGTTGTTTTGACGATATCATTAGAGTCAATGATGAGACTTCGGGATATAATATGTATTTTCTGTCAACTTCCATTTTGTAAATTTTACTGGCAGCTTTTCAGTGACCAAGCAGATCAGAGTAATAATAAAGCTATTAAATGAAGATAGACATGTTTTCCTCCATTTGTGATGTCTAAAGCCCATGAATAGATGTTATAGATTACATGGAAGGGTTTATGCTATGATTACATGGAAAGGCTTATGCTGTGAAATAACAAACAAATTCCAACCGATAAGCAACAGGCAACAGCATAAGTATTTCAAACTGGCAAGATGGGTGCCAGAAGAGAGCTAGAAAATGGATTGGCATCAAGTAGCAAAAATATAGGCTCAATATGCATCCAGAATTTGGGAGAGAAACCCGAAGTATGCCACAGCCACAATTATGAATCGCCCATGAGAAATTTTATGCCTTCAATCAATCACTAAATACCAAAAATTATATTGTAAAATATCTCTCTAAACAATTTGAATTATAATAGCTTTTGCTCATAAGATTAAGCAAACACATGGGAAAAGCTACAGTCACTAGGCAGTGACAAAACCCACACGGTACAGTTTTTTTCCTTTTTTTTCTCCTTACAATGGCGGGGGTTTGTGCAGGAAACATACCTATTGTATTAGTTTGTATGAAAAGTTTCCAGTTGTGAGATATGATATTTACAATGAGCTTCACTAAAAGTTAATCTGTATCACTTAATGTACATAATAATCCCACTAAATTTGCTCTATATCAATCAAGGTTGATTTGTTAACTTTCAAATATGATTTTTCCCTTGGATTTTTTGGAGGGCTCATCTTTTCTTCAGGGTGCTATTTCAAATTTGCCATGTCAACTCCCTTAGTATGATTTAAATTGTATGATGATGATGATCTTCATTTGCCTGCCGATTTCTTTCTTGCCATATGACTCAAATTAAATTTGAAGAGAGGCATTCCAAAGATTTGGATAGAGGCATTCCAAAGTTTTGTTAGTATTTTTTTTTTGAACTTCTTTTAGAACCAATTTTTTAGGAGACCTTGGATGTTATAGCGGCTATGGCTCCAATGTTCAATCTCCAAGGGATCACTTTCCAAATCTCACCTACAAAGGTACACATGATGAAGACATGACATGATCTCCAATTTTGACTTTATATAGGGCATCATTACAACCAAGGTAACTCCATCTGTGCACTCTATCAGAGATCCGTTAGCTTCTTATGATAAGATACACATGAAACCATGAAGCCCTTGGGTGTATTGGTCTCTCGTATTGTCTCAAATGTTCTATTTTTGGCCCCACATTCTCTAATAATTTCATGAGCACTTTCTGAGGTAATTTCTCCATATTAATTACGTATCCATGCAAACATATCATCATCCTCTCACTGTAGATAGGTAGCCTTCTCTAAGATTAGCTTCTAAGCCCTCAATCTCCTCCCTCTTATAGGAAAGGGAAATCGCCATGTATTTCTATCCCAAAAATTGGGACATGATTAGAGATCATCCAAGACCCAAGTCCCTTCCAATTTCCTCCACATACAAGTACATACAAGGACCTGCCATGAAGCCATGGATCAAACCAGTGGCTTCTCTGAAGATATTTTCTTCTCATGAATTGTGTCCATATGGATCGACTTTTGCTAGTCAATTCCCAATAAATAAATAAATAAAGCAAGTTTAGCTAGTAAGGATAAGTTAATACCCTTTTTGATAGCAAGTCCACCTTCATCCATTGGTTTACACATAGTTCTCTATTTGATTAGGTTTGGGCATTTTAGGTTTTGGTGATTACCTTAGAGAAAGTTCCTTTTGGAGCCTTTCTAGAGTGTCTATTTTGCTACAAGGGAATTTGAAACAAAGCACCAACGATTTGGGATTGGGGAAACACATGATGCAAGCAAAATGTGTCTTCCTGGATAGGATAGGGTTTTGAGTTTCCCTCTTTTGAGTTTGGATATGGTTTTATCAATGATAGGTTAGCAAGGTTTAGGGGTTAGTCTACATTGGAACAGTGGCAAAACCAGATATGTAGAGGATATATATCCGATAGATGCATTTTAAAAAATGACTCACTCTTTTCATAGGTGACGGAATTGAAAAATAATATTTTTGCTTTTGTGGGGTTTTTATCAAGGCCAGTGTAGAATTGGAAAAGGTAAAAGATACATTTGAGAGATTGGCATGATTGTGTGCTAGCACTGCCAAAAAAGTGGTGGTCATCAGCATAGAGAAGATGGGAGGGGGTATAATCTATGGATTCTAGGTGGTTGGAGTCTCTCATTCTCAATTTCTTTATTGATAAAGCTTGCTAAAACATTCCATGGCCATAAGGAATAGATATAGAGATAAGGAACCAGGCTAGGTTCAAGACGGTAGAGGCTGGGTTTTCATAGCACAACATCTCAAGTTCCATTCTTATATAACCTTATCCAAAAAAAAAAGGGAATAGATATGGAGATAAGGGATCCCCTAGTTGAAGCCTATTTTTGCCCTTAAAATATCCAGAGGCAGTGCCTTCAAGGTGAATGGAGTATGTAGGGGTGGGGATACACATTTAACCCAATTTGGAAATTTATCCCCAATCCATATCTTTGAACCCCACTTAATAAAAATTCCCAATTGGCTTTGTTGAAAGCCTTATGGAGATCAATTTTTAATCAAAGGGTGTTTTCCTTTTTTTTTAGTCATACTACGGATAAGTTCATTTGCAAATAAAGATTACTTGAAAATGCTTTGACATGTAGAAAGGCACCTTGATTAGGGCTAATGATGCGGTTTAATACGCTGTGAGCCTATTAGCAATGATTTTGCAAATGATCTTAATCTTATAGACCACATTGCAAAGGTTATACGTGTAAAGTTGATCATAGAAAGAACACCTTTTTTCTTTGGGATTCGAGACATAAAAGAGTCAAAGGATCTCATTGTTGATTGTCTACGTCAAGTGTCTTTATGCATGAGTAATATCTAAGCCCATTATTTGCCAATTTTTTGAGAAAATTGGGTGGGAAAACGTTTGGGGCCAGGCACTTGTTGGGGCTGAGACTCATTAAGGTGCTTTCAATTTCTTCAAAAGTGAACTTTCTTTGTGGTATTTCATTTTCTTCCTCAGAGATTTCGGTTTCATATGGGGGGTTTGATTTGAGAGTTATGGGTTGCATTCTTCCTAAGAAATAATTGTAAAAGCTAGAGACTTCTTGGTCGTGATATCGTCTTTAATTGTGGTAATTAAGCTTAGAGATAGTTGTTCTACATCTTCTAGTCATTCTTTTTCATAAACATGTTACAAAGTTATTAACAATTGGCATTCTAGTTATTCAGTTATATCATTGGTGTTATATCAAAACCTCTTAACCCTAGTTCTCAGTTCCAAAAAATACAGACTGCAATGCAAGATATGACATTTTTATGAGTTTTGAAGAATGAGGATATCTCCCCTGGATTACCCAAGAAGCTGATTGGACATCAAATTCTCTTGTTCTCTCATATTTACTAACAAAAGGCACAAGTTCAAACTTGTTTCCAAGCAAGGTTTGTTCAAGATGCATAGGACCTCCATAGGAAGACACTATAATCATTTGCATTTGCATTTCTTACCAACAAAATGTCAAGACACTGAACACAGTTAAATAGGCAGATCAGTGTAATAACTACCACCTATCCTGTTTCATGACAATACAAAACCAGCAAAAATCATAGCTGCTTCATCTGCAACCTGACATTAGAAAACCCAAGATACAAATTGAATGCTCTGAAATAAAGTAGAGTTGTAAGTATTTAAATTCGGTTATGTTGGTCTATGCATAATTCAATTTGTTCCAAGGGTGTGGTCACACTCGTTCATAATTGGATCCTGGCAGGAAAACTCATCATCTCAAAGCAGCAAGAAGTCAGCTCAGTTTTGGAAACTTTGTAATTTATTTTCTTACTAGTTTCCAATACAAATTTTCCCATATGAAACCCTATTGATACCTAAGAAAGTAGTCTTGTCCACTCCAACAACTATTCATGTGAAAGTTATCTGCAAATTTTGGTAACTAACCAATAAATATCAAGTGTAGCAATGCACAAAGCTTCTAAGCCAGGTGAAATGGGTTTGTCAAATTATCGTATAATGACAAAATGTAATAGTGAAATGGTGATAGTTTAACTTTTACAAGCATAATTCCTACATATCTTCTAATCTGGTTCAATTTCTCCAAGTATTATGCAATCTACATTTAGACATTGCCAGTGCATAGTTCCAAATCAAATTAAGACAAATGGGTACCCAAAAAAACAATATCAATCAACATCATGTTTACCAAATAAACCAAAAATATACCAAGGTGAGGAAAGCAGAGAATTTCAGCAACACAAAGAAATATATATAAAAAAAAAATGGCAAGCAATGTCCATTATCCCTTGGCCACATAAAGTGAGGGAAATATTTTTGTCAAAAAAAGAAGAAAACAAAGGGAGGAAAATAAAAGAGTAAAAGCTCATACTGAAACTTAGAATCAGAGGAATTTGGGAGAACCCAAGTCAATAATTTTAAGCACACCTGTGATTTGCCTTCTCATCAAGCATCCTCTTGCGCTCAGCCTCTTCTCTAGAGACTTCAAGCATCTTTCCCCTCAAATCCTTCCTCTGTCTCTGAAGCACATTGCGAAGTGTCTCCACTTCTCTCTCTGCAACTTCTCGCTCTCTTATTGCTCTCTCTCGAGCTTCATTGCCTTCCAAAGCTTGACCCTTGTGAATCCCTTCCTTTCCCTCTACCTTCTTCCTCCCCTTTCTACTGTCTTCCTTTGATCCCTTACTCTTATCCAAACCTTCCACTCCAGTACTACCATGAACCATGATATTTCTCCTTGTTTTCTCAGTTGTTTTCTCAGATTTAACTCTATGTAATAGGAAGTTCCATACTGGAACCATATTTCCCCTGCAAATTTTCTTAAGGGCCTCAGGTGAAGGGAGAGGTTTGATGGAGGAATGATACTGGCCTTGGGGTTGGTACCCCATTTCCTTGAGCCATTCAACAATGGCCTCTGGTTGAGCCATCGGGCTTGAAGAGCTCTGCATTTTAACAAAAGTTGTAGAAAAAAATGGAATATAAGAGAACTCTCAGAGATTACTGAAATTATTTGTAGATCTTAGCCAAATGGAGAAAATATTGGCCATGAAGATCGATAAATAAGTTCAGAAACCCTAATCTGGTAGCTCAAGAGGAAATTCAAGGACCTTATCATAGAGAACCAGATCAACGCCATGAAGATAATTAAAGAACTAATGGAAAAACCCTGGTCCCTAATGTTTCGGCATTAAAAAAAAAAGAGTATCAAGACACTCCCTCAAAGATCTGGAGGAAAGAGAAGCTTCAAAAATAGCTGAATTTCAAATTTTTATTGAACAATTGAAACCCTAGCCAGTATAACCAGGGTTCCGCCATGAATATAAAGTTTATAAACACAGTGGAGAACCTAACCCTAGGGTCTATCAGAAGAAGAAGAAGGCGAAAATGGAGCTAGAAGCCATTGAAAAACAAACACTGAATGAAGCGTCGAGAGAGCGTGAGAGGGCGGAGCCGGCCTGGTTTGAATTTTACACATTAAAATTACAATAATTACCTGAAATATGACCCAAAATAACAGACATACCACAATGGGAAAAGCCGACCCTTGCTTATCTTATACTCGATGCTAATCCACATTTGAAGCATCTCTCTTCCCCCCATCCGACTTTACCCTCTTTCATGTTTGGCATATTTGGCATTTTGGGTCACGGGTGGCAATGGACCCGAACCCGGACCCGACCTGAAACTCGAGGACTAGACTGGATCTGAGTTCAGGTATGGGTCTAGAAATGGGACCCAACGGGCTGGGCCAGTGTCCGAATCTTTGACCCAAACACTATTTAGGTTCGGGTTTAGTAATATTTTTTGAGTCTCAATATATGAATATAGTTAAATATTAGTTATTTTAATTTTTTAGTCGGGTACGATTGGTCCGATCAAGTTCGGGTCCCAAACTATATTTTTTTGGTCCGGGTCTAGGGGGGTCTAAGTCCCATATTATTTTTTAAGCCTGGGTCACCCTGGACTCGAACTCGACCTGACCCATTGCCACCCCTAATTTGGGTTTAAATTATTCAAATTATTTTTATTATTTTTATTTAATGAATCATATAGAAATATATCCACGCTTTAAATTTTAAATAAATAAAATTTATAAATTAAAATTATTTATGATTGTTGGATTATAGCTGTTTCAATCTGAATCATTGAACCTAAACCATTGAGGTACACACTTCTTTACCATCCCTTTCTTAAGGCGCATAAGGGTATTTGAAATCCATTTTTGGATCGGTAGGAGCTTACATCCTTAAAAGTAAAAACATATCCTAAGGATACCCTTTATAAGGTTTTAAAAAACCTCAATTCAGACTGGAATCGTATTTTGGGATCGGTTTAGTTCCCACCATATATTAAAAACCGGTTGTTTTTGTCAGGCAACAAGCCAGCATGTCCCACCTTTTATTTTGTTCTTTATTTTGTACTTTTTTTTATTGACCGATTCACTTTTGTTAAAATCACCGATCTGGACCGCATATACACTCATGTACAAAGGAGTCCGCACATACAAGGAGTTCTTTTTTTATTTTGGGTTTAATGTTAACTATAATTGAAAATAAAAGACGTGTGCCAAATGAACAGCATCTGACAAATGTAAATACAGACAAAATTGAAGCCTAACGCCTCACTATACACCCTAATGCTTTGATCTCAACCACTCTAAAGGGGGTGTGCCATCCACCAAAAGCATCTAGCTTCTAGAACCGGTGCGTTGGGTTTAGGAGCAGTATAGAACAATGATTTAAAAATCAACGAGTCCGGTTCGATTCGAGAATCGGCACAACCCGTGCCAGTTCCAATACAAAATCGGGAATCGTCCAGTTCTAGAGCAGAACCGTCGATTCGCACCTGATTCTGTCAGGGTAAGAATGGCCCAGAACTTTAATGTTAACTTTTATTGAGAATAAAAGAGATTTGCCAGCACAGTATCTGACAAATGTAAATACACACAAAATTGAAGCCTAACGCCTCACTATACACCCTAATGCTTTGATCTCTATCACTCTAAAGGGGGTGTGCCATCCACCAAAATCATCCAACTTCTAGAACCAGCGCGTTGGGTTCGGGTGTATAGACCAATGATTGAAAAATCGGCGACTCGTCGGGTTCGACTCGAGAATCGACATAGCCCGTGCTGGTTTCAGCACAAAACTGGAAACCGCCCGGTTCTAGAGCATAACCGCCGGTTCCCACATGGTTTTGTCCGGTTCCCTCTCGATTCTAGCCTCAAAAGCACCTTCACATGTATGTAAACTCGTGAACCTGGTTCTGTCCGGTTCCCTCCCGGTTCTAGCCGGTTCCCTCCCGGTTCGAGCCTCAAAAGCACCTTCACACTTGTGTACACGTCACTAGCAATACGTACTTCCACACGAGCCACACACACATGCATATGTGCACCTGTTATAGCCGATTCAAGCCTAAAAAACACCTTCACAAGTGTGTTCGCGTCACACGTGTGACACACACATGCACGTGTGCATGTGCACGGATACCCTAGTGTTTTCACACTTATGTTTATCTTCCAATTACATAGTTATTTATATAGCATATTTGAATACTCATCATTCGATGTGGGATAATTCACAAACATCATTAAATGAAAACAAAATGTAAATATATGCTACTAATAGGCAATTTTAAACGCATATGCTAATGAGGCATAATGGTTATCACTAATGTTATGTGCTTTAAATTCTCAAGTTTGAACCCCCCTTGGGCCATATAACAGTTTATTACTTATTGAGCTAATTTTTGTTCCCCCTTGGCCATATAATAAATTAAAGTGTTATTTTCAAAATTTGTACACATTTTATTAATTTTTACATTGATAACCAAATCTTTTATTTTATTTATTAATTTTTACATTATAAATCATGCAATGTATTATTTTTCTTACAGTTGTCAATAATACATTTTAAATTAGATAATATTATAAAATATTTTTAATTTGTTATTATTTATCTAATAAAATAATTATAAAATGTAAACTAATAATTATAATTTTAGTATATAATATTATAATTAGTTAAGTTGTAATAATTTTGAATTATAGTTAGTTAGGCTGTAATAATTATATATTTTATCCATGATAATTCTATGATTTTTCTTTTATGTGATGTAAATTTAATACTTAAGTTTATACAGGGAAATAGCATCTCAATATTCACAAATTGATAAAAAAATGAAAGTTAATAATGTAGTACCCTCATTTATTATTGGATTCCTAAAATACAACATTTATAATGAATTTTAATAATTTTTTTGGAATTTTTTGAAGCTTTAATCCGATCGATTCAGCCGATTCCCAATCCGGATCCCCTATTTACCGATCCGAATCGGCTTTTGAGGTACCCCATCCAAGTTACCGATCCGCTTTTTAAACCATTGGTATAGACCCAAGAGTTGGGATGCATTCAGATCCATGAAGATGTAAATCACGTTGGATCAAGTTCCCGTCGGGCTCCACCAAGCCCAACCCTGCCTATAGTTTTTTATATGTAAGCATATAGTTTAAATTATGAAATATACAAATTATATTTCTATATCCTTGTACTTTTTTTACTTTTTGACCCAAACCGGATTGGATCGAACCCAACCCCATAGGTCAGGTCTGGGACTGATTGACTTAGCCCCAATTGGGTCTACGTTAAGTCAGGGTCCAACTATGGACTTTTTGGGTTTGGTCCCGGTCAGGACTAACCCAAACTTAACCTACCCCCTTTATACCCCCTATCCAAGACTCTGAAAAGTAGAAGAATCTTCGTCTAAAACCCCCCATCTCCCTTGTCCCATAACTCCTGTACTTAACCTTTGATCAACAGTTTTTATGCTCGAAATTCAGGTGAATGGAAACAGAGGTAAAGGGTTTTATTGAATTATGATCCATGAGAAGACTGAACCAAGAGGCCACATTTTCATCGACCATTGTCTGGTTGTGGTTTACTAAAACTGAAAACCTGGTAAAGAATACACTTATGGCACGTTTGGTTCGCATAAAACATTTTCACATGAATAATTTTCTCATGTGGTCAAATGTGAGACTAATTTTATACCAAGTCTTAGTGCATATTTTCACACCAATTGGTAACTAATTGATGTAAAAATATTTTCACATTTGACAACATGAGAGAAACATGTGAAAATATTTTCTAAAAAACATTTTCATGGGAACCAATCGTGCCATTAGAAAAAGCAAGATTTTTAACAAGATGGGGAGAAACTTAAGAAAGGAACTTTGCAAATAATTTTTTTGAAAGAAAGAAACTATACTAAACTATGTTGAATGTGCATTAAGACTAAATAAAAAAAAGGTAGGGTAGCTACTTGAACCACAGGGCCAGCTTCAAATTGATGGTTTATGCGGACTATCACCAATCCTTGGGATTGGGATTGCCAACTGAGACTGAGTTCAGTTCCTGAATGTGTTTCGGTTGCCTTTGGCTAAAAGAGGTGCGGATCTAGGGTTAGGTCAATGGCCCATAGTTCGACTCTAAGGTTAGACGTGGTGTTGTGTTTACTTATGTGTCTTGGGTCAAGGCTAGGTCTGCTGCCTCTATATGGTTTTGGCCGATCTAAGTGGGTAATTAAGGGTGGTTCGGGCTAATAGTGCAGGGTTTTGATTGATCCTAGGTTGAGGACTTATTTTTGGCAGATTTTAATGTGTGCTTTAGCCTAATTTGGAAGGTTTGGGATTAATTATGTAGGTCTGAGGGGATCTCATGCCTAATTTGGTATGTTTAAAGGTATAAGTATGCTTAGGAGTTAAACTAAGTGTGTTCTAGTTTAATTAATTAAATGTTAACTAATATATGATGTATAATGGGGTGTCTAGATTTAAGGATTGGTGCACTACGGGGTAGAAGTGTAGTAGGGTCCCTAGGGTAACTTTGGTCAAGAAAAGGGGGTTTCTGGTGAGATGAAAGCCAAATTTTTGTCTAGGAGGGGTCTTAGTCTGGTCCCTATGGTTTCCAGGGTTTGTGGTTTCTTAGGATTCCCTCTACAGAGAAAACGGTGTCCACAAATAGCAAAACCATCTATCTCAAGTCCCCTCCTCATGGCTAACACACCTGCCTCGTCATTCATTTTTATTGATGCGATAAGCAATGACCTCTTTTAACTTTATCACTAACACATTTGGTTCACGATAAATATTTTTATGTTAAAAAATTCCATCGTATGGTTAAGTGTGGAAATATTTTCACACTAATTAGTTGCCAATTGATGTGAAACGATGCATTGGGACCAAAGGGTCATCTCTATTCTCGTGCGCCACATAATCACATGTAATGAGTTCCCTTAATATGTTACTGTTGCAATGTGAAGGCCGAACACCCCTTATGAGAGCATTAAATTCTGCTTCATTTAACCGTACATGATGAACAAAAACGTGAAAGTGAAAAGATGATGTTTGTCAGACAATCTCATAATAGACTTTCGACGAATATAGGGCCTAGATTCCCTCTTGAGATCCAATAATTGAGTTTCACCTGCCAAGGTGGAGGAGGCATCCAAGTACTTGATTTCACATAGTTTATTTGCTGAAGCTGAGCTAGCAAGTTGAGGTTATCAGACCTCTTGGAAATCCTTCTAAGTCAAGTCCTATACCACCATCATTGTCATTATTTTGGATTTCACACTCCAAATATTGTCAACTACTCTTTAATCTCTTTTTTTTTTTGTCCAAAATGCCATTCCCAGCTGCTATTACTTCCCTCCATGCCTGAATAACTACTTTTGGAAACACAGGAAAGGCCCATTGTGAGAATAGATGGTCAATAGATAGTGGAATAACCCAGCTAAGCCTGAATGGGCCAATGATCCACTTCCAAATCGTTCTTGCAAATGAACATCATCGCTAAAGATGGTCAGTGGTTTCTTCATCAGCCTTATACATCAAACACACATTAGTCAAGATAAGACCCCTTCTTTTGAGTTGGTCTATCAATAAGGTATGATTCCCTATTGCCAATATACTATGAGTCAATTATGGTAACTTTTCCTTGAAATCAATTGTGAAATTGAGGCGACCAGATATTAATTCAATGTTCTGCAAGCAGTCTCTGATTTCAATTTTTAACTTGCTTGTTTGATTCATGGATAGACAGTATGGCTCATGTTTTAAGTACTTTTTCCTTTGTTTATAAAATAAAAGGGGAATGGAAACTATTCACCCAAGAAGAAAGAGAGAGAGAGAGAGAGAGAGAGAGAGGTGTGGTTCATGAAAATATAATTGGAAGTCTGTGGGGATCATATGGCAAGAAAGAAACCGACGAGCAAACAAAAGTCACCACTGTACCATTTAAGGGGCAATAAATCATATGGAAGATTCAATCTAGTATCCCAAAAATTAAAATAATAACCCTAAGAAATAAAAGATAAATCATATGGAAGATTCAAAGTAGATGAGAAATGTGATCTCTTCAACATGGTAAGAACTGTAAACCCCACCCAAACTGTATAGTATGGCAAAATACAAAGGGTCCAATTTGAGCATAGATCTCATAATCCTATGAAAGAGTGAATGTATGGTTCAAAACTAAGCTTAAAGCTCAAAATTTGGAAATACAAACAATATTCGAAAAGAAAACAGACCCAGAGGCACAAGATGCTGTCATTGTCATCAAGATATTTAATGCCATGACTTGTACAATCTAAGAGGCAATCAGAACCTAAGGAGTGTAGCTCTAGGAAACAACTAATGAACTACTGTTAAATCTTCTTTGAGTTGCATGCCCAGAAGAAGTATTTGAAAACACAGTCATTGAACTGATTTTCCATCTTTGTTGACTTGTCTTAGGTTTGGTTTCTATTCAAACTCAAAAGGAACAAAATTGAGGGAGGTTTTGGGAAGATGGTGGTTTCCCAGTTGACTGCAGTGAGTAGTCGTGAGAAAAACATTTGGACTTGTTTTTAGCCTCAAAGGTGGGTCTTTGTAGAAGTTACTAAAACTCAGAGTTGATGACATATGGTCTTTGAAATGGTGGTTGATGCAGGGCAAACTATGTCTGTGGTGAAAGGATGGGATCCTTAACTACAGTGAGAAACTACCTTAATGCTAGTAGGAATTCGGGAAGCACTTAATGCTATGGAAACCCTTGGTGACCATAGTTAGAAGACAAAAATACCAATTCGCCTGAGATCAAACCACGATCACAACATGACCTTCTGGCCAGCTAAAAGAATGGAAAAAAGGATGGAGTTTTGTTGCATCAGGTGACTGATCCTATTAAAGTCCATTGTCCTTCCAGAATCGAAATTAGAGATGGATTTTGGATCTAAAATTCAACAGGTTGATAACCTTGACCAGAACAACCATGAATCTATTAAAAAAAAATTAAAATAAACTATTATTTAAACCTTTATTTGTGGTCTATTTATTTAAATTCTTTTAAAATAATCGCCATGTGAAATGTTTGATCCAACAAAACCCATCTATAATATGTATTTTTGGAAGGGACCACATATGAACATTGACACCAAATTTTTTTCCATATCATAAAGTTGTTTTGTAACACCCATAAAAAATAAAGTTCGATAAGGAAGTTGCCTTGGCAGTTTAGAAGTAACCAGAAAGTTTCCGAAGATTAGAGAATGGAAGCCTGGAGATTGACAAAGAGAATTGGTAAAACTCTAGGTGTTACAGAAGAACTACATGATAGCAGATAACTCAATCCTCACAAGTGGTATATTCATTCCTTCATCCACGCACTCAGACCGGCCATTGAATCAGCCAACTGAATTGGTATATAGAAAGATCAGAGTTCTTTGTTGGGGCGGATGTAAATAGCCAATGGCAAGACAAGCAACGAGTAAAGCTCGTAGCAATGCCAAAGCACTTTGGAGGACTTTGCAGCATCAATGCACACATTTTTTAGGGCTTTGCTTGTAGAGTCCCTACAAAATCCAATCAAAGAAAAAGAAAATGTTCATTTTATGGTGCAATGGCATTTGGATTGACATTAGTTTAGAATGCAGTTCACGAACTCCACCCTCCAAAATTTAGTCCTTTTTGAATGGAACTATGGAGGGGAACAAATCCAATGTCATCCAATGGTGTCAACATAGAGCTGAGGTAGATTTTGGACAAAGTCAGGAGCTTGGAACAAGGAAATAACCGGTTCATAGCCATAGGTTCCGAGAAATAAAACAAGAGGCAGATCAGTTGGCTAAGGATGGGACAATTAGGTTATCTCCTTTGGTTCAAGTAGAGGGAGATTTCTGATTTTTGTCAATGGTAGGTTAACACATGGATAAACCAGTACAAACTCTCCTCTTCCAACGACTAACACCTTCCAAATGAAAACATCTACTGACGCCAGGTACAAAGTTGCCAATGTATAATCCAAACATCATCATCCGAGCCTTATTTACTTGAGAATTTTATTCATACATAATACATTAAAAAAATTATCTTTACATGACAGAAACTTCTTGCCTACAAACCATTGAGTCTGCATATTACAAGCCAAGATCAACCCAAGCTAGAATAGAGTGAACCCGTCGTCATAGGAGACATGCCATCCTCTCCTACAAGGTGATGCCCTCTCCTCATATTCACCACAACAACTCCACCTCTTCTTCCAGTTTGGCCTCCCAGTGTTGGGCCTATTGTCCTTGTCATTCCATTTGTACACTATCACTCCACTCCCTTCACTCCACTCACCATCTATACCTTGGTGTGGTGGTGCCAATGCAAACAAACCTCTCTCCCCTAAACCAACATCAGAAATCATCACACAATCACTTGAGTAGTTCCAATGTTGTTCATACAAAAGCAAATATGACTTCTTCTTAAGTGCATGAATGTTTCCACTACCTTTAAAGGGGAGAGTCATTTTTGAGTTATACTTTTTTTGTTTTTTGTTAAATGAGAAAGTATACGAAAGGGAAAAACTTTATATAAGGTTGCAAGCTTATTTGCAGAACTAAAGTTGTAGTAATCTAAACCGTCTATTTTATTTGGACGGTGTAGATTGAACACTGTGATATGCGATGCTATCTTAAAAGATGTGATATGCGATGCTATCTTAAAATATGTGTTTAATCTATACAGTCCAAGTAAAATAGACATTGCACAATTTTGCAATTTTATTTCTATAAATAAGGTTGTAACCTTTTACAAACCGTACCTATAAAATAAGACCATTATTTTTGGTACCGGGTAACAAATTTCACAATTTTTATGAGACACCCAAAGGCACAAACTATCTGATTTCATATTTGACAGTTACAAATAATTGCGACTTTCTTGCACTAAATATAAATGGTTTTATAGGCCTTCTGGTGTACAATCCCTCTTGAAATTGCCTTATTTGGCTTATTACTTGGGATATAGCTTGTCAAGTAGTTCTAATAACCAAAGATCTACCCAAAAAGCCCCATCCCCACGAAAAAAAAAAAAAAAACTACAGTAGTTGGTATTACACCAATATTGATAGGCTAAGCATATGGAGCTGCTTAGTTTTTCAGTACAACTTCAATCAGGACCCAGCCCATTGAAACATCTAAATGCAAGGCTATAGAGATCATGTTAGTCTCCAGACAGACACAGAGAAAGAGCCGATTTTTTGCCGGAAACCGAAGTCAGGCCGGAAAAAACAACCGGATATTGGTTTGAAAAATAGGAAGCCCCAAAGGCACAAAGCACAAGTGCTTGATTGAACTGTAAATGCGAAATTTAACGCCCACAATATCAAAAAAAATAATCATAACTAATTCAAAACTGTGAACATTGGATTGAATGTATGGGTAAGAGGCAAATTACCATTAGTGTGGCCATGGAAGAGGCAAGCCGTAGGGGAATTATCCTTGTCCTCGTACAAACTATTGCATCTAAGGCATCTTTTTTGGGCAAGAATTTGATGGTTTTTCTTCTTAATATTTGATGGGTTTGCTTCAATTCTTAAAAATTTTAATGGGTTTGTTTGGATTTTAAGAGGGCTGTGAACCCAAAAGGGTGGTGCGTTACAAGCCCAAGCCATGTTGGTCCTCTCACTTGAACCCACAGTCATCAAAAAGGAAATTACTAAGACTACACCCAATATCCTCTGGAATGCTGTAGGGCCTTGCATGATATTTTATGCCCTCGCTGCCAAACTTGCTGAGTCAGCCCATGGCCTCAGAAGCGGGCTGCATTCGGGCTAATCTGTGATGTCCATGAGCAGGCGGCAGACAGGTAGGGCTGGCAGTGGGCTGGGCCTGGTTCATTATAGCTGCCTAGCCCCTCCAGGTAAAATTAAAAAAAAACAGTACAAAAAAGATAAAAAAATAAGAGCCATGCCGGGGCACCCGACCCATTGCTACTTTATCTTTTATTATCGTATATTATTACAATATTATATTTTATGTATCTTATAATAATATTATAATATATTATTATAGGGCGACAGTCCGAATAGTGTTAACTTTCACCAAAGGTATGAGTTTCACCGAAAGTTGGGACACTGAATAAGGATAACTTATGTTTCGATTCTCTTCATGTTTTATTATTTTCAAACAAGTGAATTTCACTATGATATTATGGAATGTAAGGCGTTTTCACCGCTCTCTATATCTCTTGGGTTAAGTCGTAGATGGGTCTCTCCTCTTCTGGTTGCAATGAAGTTAAATTTTGATAGAAGCTCATTCAACAATATTAAAATTAAATTAAATTTTGATAGAAGCTCATTCAACAATATTGAACAGTTGGAGTATATGGTGTTTTTAGATATCATATATCTTTCTCGGATCGTGTGGCTCGGTAACCGCAAATTTCACAATGGTGAAAGGGGATTCTCACATGCAATAAGAGGGTGTTATAGAGGACAGACAATGTCATAAATTGCCAAATACAACAATTAAAGATTCCAAAGAAGCATTGCTGCATTATTAGCATCTCTCTATAACCATGTTGAAAAGAGAAATCCATCCCATTACATATTATTCAAAATTTATGCCCAGAAATCTCCACGGTAGCCTGCCCCATTTATTACACCTGTTTATAACATTCAATAAATCTCCTTCCATAACATAATACCCTATATGATGCCTTTCCTTCACCGGCTTCAGTCCTTGTAGCACGGCCCAAAATTCGGCCTCATTTGTTGTCGTATAACTACATGTCCGGAATAAGAGAGCAATATATCACATTAGAATTCCTAACCAGCCCACCAAAGCCAGATGCCCCGAGCAGGAGATTTGTGTAAATATCACTAAAAGACAGTGGATACTTTTTTTGTCTTCGTAAGGGGTAAATTTCAATTTTTTACTAAAAGACAATGTTATTCTACAAATAAAGTTCCATGACATTAACTTCCAAAATACTATTGTATTTTTGTAAAAAATTACAAATTTTTCCTTACTTAATGATTCAATTGTGTAGTAAAACAAAAATTTAAATAAATAATAATCATTTTTTGATAAATATACTCATTACAACTCATTATAATGTTAACCTATATTTTACGTAACATCTCTTTTTCTTCTTTGTTTTTTATAAATTACCTTTTGCATGTGTATTTTTTATTTTTTATTTTTTATTTAAAAAATATAGGAGGTGTCCCACCCATATTTTATATTTTAAACTTTACTACCAAGTTCACCCGAAAAAACATTCATTATCATGTTAGCATTTGATAGGACTTGAAACCATTTTTTCTCATGTCTGTACATCTTGAAGTTGAGATAGTCAATTTGAAGATAGTTGAGCATCAAACAACCGCTTATAGTGAAATTTTAGAGATGCGCCTTAATTTAATTGTTTAGAACCTCGCACTTATATAAACTTTTTTCAAACTTAAAAGAGTTTCAAAATGTTTACCGGTTACCACTTCAAAAAAAGTGATCCACCAAACCCTAATACGACATTGAGATGCAACCAGCCATGGTCGGGGGCTTTGGTCCTGTAGGAGGCTGAGGTTGGAAACAATGCAGGTCTCAAACCATTTAAAATTTAGAATATTATGCTCTTGTGGTAGCATACTATATGTTTACTTCTTCCGACTAAAGACTAATTAAAGAGAATTTTTTTTATTCAAAAATTTGAAAACCACCTAAAAATCACTAGATGATGTATATTTTTTTAAATTAGTTTTTAAACTCTTTAGCACTTATATTTCACCTTCCAAAATTAGTATGTCTCTATTCAATCTTGCGGCATTATTTTTTTTAACCACATAAGTAGTGTGATTTAAATTGTGTTTATTTGCTATTGAGGTCTTTTTATGTCTTGTAAAAGTTATTTGAGGGAGTAAATGTATAGTATATGCCAACAATAGCACCAAATCTTCAGGCTTTCCGAAAGTATCCTATAAATATAATGTGGATGACCACATCAATTAGGTGGTTAGGATGGGAGAATGGGGTTGATGTTATGGTAGTAGCATTGCTTGTGCCCCAATTAAGGTCTAGCCTTCTATTATCACGTGACGCATTAAAAAATCACTAATAATTTTAAAAAATAGGTACCCCACTAAATTACCCAAAAAAAAAAAAAGGTGGTTACGATGGTCATCAAATTCCAATAAATGGTTTGGAAACCACTAACAATTTTAAAAAATAGATAGGGACTTGTCATCCCCACTAAATTACCCAAAAAAAAAAAACAAAGGTTGTTACGATGGTCATCAAATTCCAATCAATGGTTTGGAGGGCGATGGTGAATCTGGATGCAGTTGGATTCATCTCAAGTACCCATCCATCTTCATCACCGTTCAACCTGGGGGATGCTGAGTGTGGGTGCAATTTGATTCCATCTCAAGTACCTATCTCTCTTGATCATTGTACAACCCATTGATTGGATATAATGTATCTACTCCTTCAAGCAAAAGTGATGCTCACGAGGATTTTTTGGATATGGAATTTGATCCACTTTAGAATCATAAGAAGTATTTTCAAGAAACAAAATTGGAATTTTGAGGATTATGAGTTCCTTAATACTTTTGATCTTAGATGTTTGAAAATTAGATTAGTCATCATCATCAAAGTCTTTTTCCAACTAATTAGGATCAGGTCACGAATCTTTGTCCGTCATTATGCTCTATTAAGGGCTATACTTTAAGTGAGGTCGTAAGTTTCTATATCTTTTTTCACTACTTCCAACTACGTCATTTTGGCCTACCCTTTGTCTTTTTTGAGCATTTCACTTGAACTAATTCGTACATCTTAAGAGGTGTTATACTGAGTCAGCCCCACATATGAGCAGTCCACGTAAGTGTACTTTCTCTCATCTTATCGCTTATTGGTGTCCTACCTAAATTCTCCTGAATGTATTCATTTCAAACTATGTCGCTTCTTGTCTTGGTACTCAGCTACACACATTCTATAGGTATGTTGTTTATTGATCGGCCGACATTCCGCATATAAAGTAAACTTGGTCTCGTAGATGTCCTCTAGAACTTATATTTCAACTTCATTGATATGTTGTAATCACGTAACATTCAAGTTGCACATTTTTACGTCACCCACTTAGCTCTAATTCTATGTATGAACTCTTCCTAAATCTCTCTGTTTTTCTGGATTATCGACTCACAATATTGAAAGATGGTCTTCAACTTCATCAATTAGCTTTTTCAAGTTCATACACAAATATTATGATTTTGTTGTTTTCTTTAATTGGTCTTTTGGGGTTATATCCCAAAATTTCAAATTTGGGTTCTAAAAATCGGGATATTATACTATGAGACCATTTATCTTCTAGCCATTACATGTAAAATTAAATGGCTTGAGGTGCATTATAAAGTTTGATTTTTTTTTTTTTTGAACTTTGAGTTTAATCAATGATACACTCACAACCGCCTGATTTAGAATCTTACGGACTGATTGTGACCTCTTTGTCTCAAAATTAAATAGGGAAAACTACAAATAACCCCCAATAATTGACTTCCCATGCAACTTACTCCCAACCAAACTGTGTTTTTCACTTTTTATCCCAAAATAAACTTTCCTAGCAAATACCCCCAAGTAAAAAAAACACACATTTTTTTTTTTTAATGAACATACCTTTTTTCGTACATAAAAAATTAATTGTGGCTCGTGGGATTACGCATAGTACCAAAAGCTATCGGACAACCATGTACCAATTGCCAGACCCTGTTAAACTTTAAAAAAGTGAGAACCGCTTTCATTATCTGCCGGACAACCTTTTGAATCTGCCAGACCACATTGTCGGACCGCCACATAGATCTACTAGACCGCATGTGTCGGACCGCCATATAGATTTGACGGGCTGCATATTTGTCCAGGAACAAAAGTGCCAAACCGCCTTTTGTTAAAAAAAAGAGGAGAGAGAAACATTGGTGAAAGTCAATGGAGAATAGTTCATTCTTTCTTTTATTTACTTTTGTGGTTGGCGGCGGAGGGCTAGGGGGCATTTACTAGGAAAGTATATTTTAGCTAAAAAGAGAAAAAAAAAGTTTGATTGGAGGTAACTTGTATAAGAAATCTATTTTTGAGGGTTATTTATAATTTTCTCAATTAAATAATCCCACTGCATAATTTTTTCCAAAAATACCATTTCATACTGGATTTTTTTAGTGGGCTGTTCGTCTTCTTCCTCGGGGTGTTACATCTCACATGAGTGCATGCTAATAAATTGTTTCTTTAAAACTTACGGACGAAACAAAGAATGTCTAAATTACAATACTTTGATAGGGCTCTAGTTCTATAAGAATAAGTAAACCCTCACCTCATACCTCATTGAAAATTTAAATTTAAGTATTAAAAAATCTTTAAATTGATCATCTTGGCTTTAACATTATGGTTGTAAAAAAAAAAAATTTTTAAAATCTAAAAATAGAATATATTACAATAAATCATCTAGACCATTTATTTCGCCCTAAAAATAAATGTTCATATATCTACAATAGCATTTTTTAAATTTTAAATTTTATTATTGGTGTCGGAATTTAATTTTATTAGGATTCGACGTGATGCTTTATGTTGTTTCGTAAAACCTAAGCCTTATAGAAACTTCATCCAAATTTAAATACAAAGAAGCCTGCAAGGCGGTACTTAACGTTCCTTGATTGCAATCCTTCAAGAAGTCCCTCTTCTCTCCACACACACATTCTGTCAAATATTCCATCTCTCTCTCTCT